CTGAAGATTACTTCCGGCCTAAAAATTTTGGGTCGTAGTATATCAAAAATTTCCCATATATTTAGTATATAAAAATGCTTCCTATAACTAAAATTTCGTACCGGAAACTTTTTTTTTAAGGTTGGGAGTTAGTTGGCATTGTAAAATTTCGCGTTATTTACAATTTCTTGCATTTTCTTACATTTTTTGCATTTGTTCTGTTACATAAGATCCTGTAATTTTATTGGATCCGATCTACGAAATCTATGATCGGAAATGATCTTCAGCCCGGTGTTACTATTGGTTTGGGAGAGCGTCAGGTGATGTAGTGCCGGTTTGGTTTAGGATAGTAAACCAACTGTGGATTTATTAGGTCAAGAGGCGTTTATTCAGGGTGTGGGAAAACCAATATAGGGTACCGGTGTCATGGTGAAAACCAGTACCCGCTGTACTTGGTAAAAGGAATCGACCTAAACCTTTAGAAACAGGATTCATTAGAATAATAATAATAACAATATGGATAAACATATGTAACCTATGTACTTATCTTCGGGTAAAATGAATAAGCTGTTGTGCACACATGACACACGTGATAAAGTAAGATCGATCGGAGGTATAAACTTTTGATCAAACCGCGATCAATTATGCAATAGTTGGTGATACAAAATAGTTTATCAATGCAACATAAGCATTATGCATGAATAATAAGTCAGAAGTATGTAATTAATTTAAGAGTTAAATATCTATGTTCGAATTATGATGTAATAGTCGAGTCAAATTAGACATATTAAAGCGTAGCGAAAGTAATAATAAAGATGTTCTTGTTCTTTTACAATAAAACATAAAGTAAATACTTATCCTTGTAAATAAAAATCCTGAATCGTTTTAAGTGAAAGCTGATAGTGCTTAACTGCTAAGTTAGGTTTTTCTTTGACAAAAGTCATTGATTAACTCATGACACGAGAACCTGGGCAAATTACCATAAATCTCGCCAAATAATAGTTAATAACGAAGCCTGAGATATCAAACATTGGGTATAAAATAAGATTTATTTCAATTACTCTTTAATAGTCACTTACACTTCCCTGGACATATCCTGTACTTTGTATTGATACTTAATATGTGTATACTATGACGTCCAAAGACTTGACAAAGCCATTCTTTTGGGGCGAAGACAATATTGAAGGGTTTCTTTTCGACTATGAGAAGTATGCAAAATCCAAAGGTTGGGATGAAGAGACCCAATGTGGAATGATTGTGATGCACATGTTGGAAGAAACAAAACCTTGGGTTAGAGGACAAAGGGTACTTGGAAGGATCTGAAAGAGGAAATTGTAAAGATTGTTAATGCCGAAAGTGCTGATGTAATAAAGATAAATCGGTTAAGAAACATAAAACAAGGAGAAAAGGAAACAGTTAGAGGATATGCTAGTAGGTATAAAGCATATCTAGACCTAATAAAAAACTCCATAAGAGAGTATGAGAAACGGGATTGGTTTTTAGATGGATTATGGGAACCATTTCGATCCAAGGTGACGATGTTCTGTCCAGATACTTATATGAAGACTAGAGATACTGTGCTTCAAATTGAAAACTTCCAAAAGGACAGAGAGCGAATTGAGGATAAAAAATACACATTTACGATTGAAGAAAGACCTCAGTCAGGTAACACCAATGTAGAAGGAATAACAGCAGCATTAGAAGCTTTGACGATTAACTGTGTGAAACAAGAGACGAATGATGCCAGTAGAATAGATAAATTGGAAGAGAATATGAAAGAAATTATGAAAATGTTTAAGCAATTCATAGAAAATCAAGGGACATCTGAACGTTCTAACTCTAGAAATCAGGATACAATGAGATCTCAAAGACAGAACTCTACGGGTTGTCAATGTTTCGTTCGTCAGGGAGAGGGCCATATGGCACGTAACTGCCCAAATAGTGTAGCTCAAGGACAAATAGAGCAAAGAAATGATCAGAGAAAAATGAAGCCAGAAAATATAGATAATAGGGACATAAATATTCATTATTTTGAAATAATGGATACTTCATCGAATATTGGTGTGGAATGTCTCAAAGTAGAAATGGTTAAAGGAGAGCCTATTTTCAACACTAGAAATTATCATTTTCGAAAAAGAAAATGTCCTAACGATGATGAGGAGATCCTAGAGATGACTAGTAGTGATCAAAAGGAAGAAACAGAAGAGAATAAAAACACTCCTGTGCCACAACATACTTACAGATCTGTAATGTATATTCTGTTGAGTGAATTAAGCCATGAATTAAATATCTTAAAAATGATAGCCGAAATAGAAATATCATTAACCTTAGGTCAACTCTTTAAATGGTCGCCGAAAGCTAGGGCTGAAGTGTTAAAAGCTTTGACAAGGAAAAAAAAAGAGAATGATATTGCGGCAATGGACGTAAGTGTTAGTATTGTGAGAGCAATGCAAGATAGTTACATGAAACAAGAAGGCGACGTACCTATGGGTCTAGTCAAAGTTAATGGGGAAATGATTATTGCGCCCATCGATCCTGGGTCCCGATTAAACCTTATGCACGAGAAAAAGGAGAGGGTTAAGTTGGAAGGCTATGAAAGGAAAAGGAAGGATGGCAGACAATAGTGTTAGCGACTTCCTTGGGTTTATATCAAATGTAGAAGTAGATGTAGACGGCGTTATAGTTATACAAGGATTCTATGTCATGGCCTCAGCAAGTTTTGAAGTGTTGCTGGGTATGTCTTGGTTGGCCGCAGCACATTGCGATCTGAAACAGAGAAATAACCAATATTGGTGTTCACTGACATCTCCGTTTAAAGAGGTGTCATTTATAGCAATGGTAGTATCTGAAACATGGTTTAATTTAGAAAATAAAGACGATGTAGAAGTATGTGAGGATGATGAACTTGAATTAATGTCCATATGAAGAGTATGTGTAAGTCAGTCTGAAATAAGAAAGTTGAAAGCGGGACATAAAAAATATTCATGAATGCAAAAAATAATAACAACTAAATAATGAAAGAAGTTATACCAATTAATGATCACCAGATTGAGAAAACTGGACATTATGGTCGAGTAATTTACTGGAATAGTGAAAACGAAAGTGATGAAGAAATGATAAATGTGGGAGGACCACAACTCGTAATGCGGCTCACAAAAGAAAATAGCGTAGCATTAGATATTAATAAGAAAATTCTGAAACAATATAAAAAGTATCTTCTGGAGCAATTGATCGAAAAGGTCTCAAAAACTTTTGCCTTTGACCTATCAGAGATTGGTAAAACGAACCTAATTGAATATGAGGTGCGAACAGATGGTAGAGAAATACCAGTAACACAAATGAGACCTCTGTGCGTTAATAATCCCAAGCGAGCACTTTTGTTTGAAAAACAACTCCGGGAAATGGTAAAACAGGGTTTATTGGAAAAAGGCAAATGTCAGTATACCTACCATTGTTTTCCAGTTAATAAGAAGAAAGGAGGAACCGATAAACTAAGGGTCGTTGGTGATATGAGACTATTAAATAACTACATTGTGAAGGATGGATACTCATTACCTGTGATATGGGACATACTAGAACTTGCAGTCGGACATGACTGGTATTCTTCGGTTGATGCCTATAAGGGATACTGGCAGATCCAGATCTGAAAAGAAGACAGGGATAATGTTGCTATAGCAACCCCGATTGGGCTCCTAAGATACACAGTTATGTGTATAGAGTTAAAGAACGCTAGTGAAACATTCTAGCATCTTATGGATTTGGTATTGGAAGTTGATGAATAGAAGGATATCGCAGCTGCATATCAAGATGATGTGGGGCAGTGGACAGACGGTTCAATTGAATACCATGTTGAAATGTTCATGAAATTAGCATGTAAATTTAAAGAAGCTAGATTGACATTTGCAGCAAGAAAATATCATGTTCTGTATAAGAAGTTAAATATGTACGAGTTCATTGTTAGTAAAGAAAGAATAAAACCTGATTCTAAATGAGTAAAGAAAATAATTGAATAGAAAAGTCCAACTTGCCTTACCGAAGTGCATTCATTTTTAGGAATGATGAATTATTACAGATGTTTCATAAAAAATTTCAGTAAGGTGGCCAAGGCACTTACTAATTTAACGAGACAAGAAATGGGATATCGATGGGGTGAAGAGCAGGAACTAGCATTCCAAAGATTAAAGAGTTTGTTACAAGAGGAGGTTATGTTAAAAGCACCAAGGTGGGACAAAGCGAAGAGTGGTGAAAGGCCTTACCAAATATTCACGGATGCTTGTGAGGTATCATTAGGCATAGTTTTAGAGCAAAATGATGATAATAATTAATTACGTCCCGTGACTTTTGAGTCAAGAAAATTAAATGAGCATGAGCTCAACTATACAGTAACTGAGAAAGAATGTTTGGGTGTCATTTTTGGCTGTAATGCCAATGAGAGGTACGCTGGAGGAACCACGTTTGATGTGTGGGTGGATTATTACACCCTAGAGTGGTTATTTAACAAGGCCATACTCAAAGGACATCTCATGTGGTGGGTTTTGGCTCTTCAAATATTTGACTTCCGGGTGCATTATAAATCAGGTAAATTTCATTGCAATGCGGATGGTATTTCAAGGTATCTGAACTCTCTGGAACAACAGAGCCCTACGGATGAAGAATATGTTGAAAATTTGTTATTGTCTATTGGTGTTGATAATCAGAGAGTAAAGAACTTGGAGGCCATAATACATTATCTGAGAGCATTTGTTTGGCCACCACATGTGATAAAAGAGGATTTGCGGCATTTAAATGCAAAAGTGAAACGGTATTGTCTTTTGAATGACCATTTATACCGAAGAGCGAAAAAGGCTAAACCACCCAAAAGAGTAATTTTTGATGACGAAGAAAAGAAAATAATAGTAAGGGCGAATCATGAAGGTATAAGTGGTGAAGGGGGACACCGTGGAGTTAACGGCGTCATTAGTAAAGTTCTGATGAATTATGAGTGGGCATCAGGTAATTTATATAAAGATGTGAGAGACCATGTATTGTCCTGTTTAATCTGTCAAAAGTGTGAACTTAAAGTCCCAAAAGAGCCAATTCATATCACAGCAACAAGCTATATTTTCCATAAGTTGTTTATTGACTGTATAAGTCCAATGCATCATACTAATGCTGGACATGAATATATCGTTGTAGTGATTGAAGATCTGACAGGATATGTGGAGGCATAAGCACTTAGAAAGAAAAATGCAAGAACCATTGCTCAGTTTATTTGGAATGATATGATCACCTGGCATGGTTGTTTTGCAGAGTTAGTGTCTGATAGAGGCACCGAGTTTAAGAACACTGTAATGAATGAACTTACTATACAGTTGGGGGTCGAGCAGAATTTTGTTGCAAGCTATCACCCCAAGGCCAATGGCAGGGCGAAAAGAACTGTCCAAAAGATTACCAAGGTATTGCATAAGATATGCGCAGAAAAACAAAATTGCTGGCACGAATACCTTCGTGAAGTGGTGTGGGCCATAAATATAACAATAGGAGATTTGGGTTATTTGCCGTTTAGACTTGTATATGGAAGAGATGCGATTACACCTCTGGAATTGACTATTGAAACTTATTAGACGTTTGTGTTGAAGAAGTCTTTGAGTACTGATGAATTATTAGAATTCCGAACTCTGCAAATGAAGAATTTAAGTTATGAGCTGAAGGATGTTCAAATAAATCGTGATAAGATGAGAGAACGTTGAAAACAGTTCCACGACTGAAAACTTACTTACTCCAAAGAGGAAATTGGTGTAGATGATTTGGTCTTAGTTTATGACTCTACGTTAAAGACTTCTTTGTCTCGAAAACTTGATTATTGATGGTTGGGGCCATATAAGGTACGTAGGATCGGTAGGCACAGACAATTTTATCTTTCCGAACTTGATAAAACCGAAGTGAAAGACCCGATTACCTGGGATAGAGTTAAGATATTCCGAAAGTTAAATGAGGATGTGCGGCAATGTAAAGATAATCGAGAAAGAGATGGTGACCTTGGGAACGAGAGTCATGGGGATCTAGCTCGTGTTATAGTGAAAACCAGTACCCGCTGTACTTGGTAAAAGGAATCGACCTAAACTTTTAGAAACAGGATTTATTAGAATAATAATAATAACAATATAGATAAATGTATGTAACCTATGTACTTATCTTCAGGTAAAATAAATAAGCTGTCATGTACACATGATACACGTGATAAAGTAAGATCGATCAGAGGTATAAACTTTTGATCAAACCACGATTAATTATGCAATAGTTGGTGATACGAAATAGTTTATTAACACAACATAAGCATTATGCATGAATAATAAGTCAGAAGTATGTAATTAATTTAAGAGTTAAATATCTATATTCGAATTATGATATAATTGTTGAGTCAAATTAGACATATTAAAGCATAATGAAAGTAATAATAAAGATGTTCTTGTTCTTTCACAATAAAACAAAGTAAATACTTATCCTTGTAAATAAAAATCCTGAATTGCTTTAAGCGAAAGCTGATAGTGCTTAACTGCTGAGTTAGATTTTTCTTTGACAAAAGTCATTGATTAATCCATGACACTGGGTTAGTGAATATCATTGCCAATATGAAACTGATAAGGGGTTATTCAAATGCAGACGGGAGCTGTGAGGTCAACGATAAGGTATACATATAGGGATGTGGATTATGCAGGTGACTTAATCAATCTTGATTGTCAATTGTTGATATCCAAAATGGGATGAGGTTGATTTAAGGCATGATAGAGAGTTGGGGATTACGATAATGTATTATGTAAAGGAATGTGAAGATGTATTCACATATTGTAACAATGATATTGTGAAGATGTATTTACACGAATAGATAATAAAATCAAAAGAACTAATAATATATAAACATACTAAAATAACAAACATGCATTAAGATAGCTTAATGCTAACAAGAAGCATCATAATTACAATGCATAGTTTATAACTTGAATCAAGGCTTCACTTAGCATTTCGGTTTTATTATATAAGACAGGGGAAATATTATCAAGTATGAGGTCAAAAACTTTGCCTTTAAATACAACGTTTGGTTTATATAAATACTTTAAACTACTCTATTGACGGAGTATCTTATTTCTGTTTTCTCAAATTAATTTATAATTTCAATTCCTTCTAACACCAATAAACCTTTTTCACAGATTCACAAAAGCATTGTAATAACTAAATGCTTTACATTTATCTTTTGATAAACTAAAATGAGGAGTGTGTAATTCAGACAGCTTGGCGTCAATATTTAAAGGCTTCACGTTCATCTTTAAATAAACGTAAACATCATATGTGTGAATCATACAATTCAGATGCTTTGTTTATATCTTGACGTAGTAACTTCCTTGATTAAAACATTTCAGGAATTAAACTTTGAATCATTGGTCTTCTCATAAAACAGTTTGACCAAGTTTCAGAAATTCATTTTGCCATTCGAGTCAGTGAAATATTAGTTTATACCGGGCCAACTCAACAATCAAGGTCGATCCTATTAAGAACATTGATTCAATATAGACTTCTAATTATAGTAATAAGGATATATATATATATAACGAATACAAATAAGGAAATAGAATGGCTAATTAAAATTATAAATAAGGTATAGATTGGTGGCACCAAAGCCAACCCAAAAAAAGAAATAAAAAAATTTAATCAGATAACAACCATCACACCGGAATTTGCTTGACATAAGGACGTACTGTTCAGCTGTTATTGTCTCATTCAATAACTATATATAGACAACCTAGAATGGTGAGTCGGTCGCTAATCAAATTGAGGCCTTGTGTAACCTACATTTGGCTTAGTCGAAAAGGTGTTTAGATTTGGCGAGTGGGTGATTTTAGACGTAGGTATTCTTCTTGTATTGGACCTTGTTAGTACACACTAATGTTTATGTTTTCTATACACACTAATTTCAATCAAACCACAGCTGAGATCTTCCACTTGACCTCAAACTGGAACAACACAACCACAGATTCCACAATCCGTTGGAAAACTGGAAAACAACCACAACTTGTCCACGGTACATTGGGATAGCTGGAAAACCACAGCAGTCCTCAG